AGAGTTGATAGTTTTAGCAGCTTTTCTCAATGAGACTTGAGTTGGTTTGATTAAGGGATCCCAAAAGGTCGACGATTAGGTAACAAAAATGGATCTGTTTTAACAATCTCAACCTTTCGAATTTTGTACGATGTCTCCCGATACCACTCGACCCGACATTTGACCATAAACATCTTGACTCATTAGTTCCAGTGGAGATTGTACGTACAATTGTCCTTTTCAAATGGATAGCTCATAGGCATAATTAATAACTCGTATGGATGATGCCGCACAAAACTCACCAGTAAAGAATATAGGTAGAAGTTCACAACCAGCAAATATAGTAAGGACTCAAGCTACTTACTTTTCATCAATAAACATTTCTACAGCCTTCTCATTAGCCGCACTAAGAACTCCGGTCATGGTCCCTCCAGCTCGACCAGCAGCATAGGCCAGATCCATGGACGGATACTTCACATTATCCGGAGCCTTAAATGTAAGAGAACCAAGCCTAAAAAATGAACATTCAAACTTAATCTATTGAACCAAAAATAAGTTGAAAATCATTGTGTAGTATCTTTGTAATTCAGATAAAAAAAANAAAAAAAAGAAGAAAATAGAAAATTAACTAGTTTCAGAAAAGGGCATGCTATTTACTTGCAAAGATCAAGACGAGGCCAAGTAATCTCAGAACAGTAAACTCTGTCGGGCCAAGATAAAGTGTATAGAATAGGCAAGCGCATATCAGGCCATCCCAACTGAGCCAATACAGATGAATCCTATAAAGATTAAGATAAAGATGATGAGAATGTGTGTTGTAACATTCAACAAACTAAGCACAAAGAAATATAAGCAAATAGCTTGTACATGGTACATGTTAAAATATATTCCAATTTCCTAGAGATTGGGAAGCTTAAAAGAGGACTGATAGTGATTTACCTGTGTCTCTATCATTGAATGTATGATCGACTGGGGATGAATGACAATCTCAATGTCATCATATTCGGCCCCAAAAAGATAGTGAGCTTCAATAACTTCTAAACCCTGTCAAAATTAAAATGATCAAAATTATCCTTTTTCCAGAAGAAGAGGCTTGCTGATTGCTGTTCAAGACTCGAAACGAAACGTCAAATATATCATAAAGCTAGTGTTCTCAATTTACTTTTAGTGCATGTTTGGTCCATGGAACTGAACTTTACAGTGTCCAAGTTTTCTATTTTATTTTTCCTCCTCAATAATGTCTACTATTGTAGAGTCCACCTTACGAAAAAAGTCTTTACCTTGTTGAAGAGGGTGGCAGAGTCCACAGTAATCTTTTTACCCATATTCCAATTAGGATGCTTCAAAGCATCTGCTACTTTCACTTCTTTCAATTTATCAACAGGCCAATCCCTATCATTGACAACATTACCAATGGTCAACTCTGATTTAACACAAACTGAGCTACAGATACATAAAAAGAAAAGTGCAGTGGAAGTATAAGAATGATTTCAATTGTTAGCAATGCATTTCTGTGCTAAGATTTCATACCTAAAAGCACCACCTGATGCAGTCAAAATAATGCGCCTGAGGGCACCCTCCGACAAGCCTTGTATACACTGAAGAATGAACGGATACTTTTTAGCAGTAATGAACAGAAAAGAAATCAGAAAAACAAGCAAACAAATTGTTCATGCTAATCCATTATCCATATCACCATATGCTAACTAATTAGTTATACCTGAAATATAGCAGAATGTTCGGAATCTGCTGGAAGAATTTTTACTTTATGCTTGTGTGCAAGAGGAAGTACAAATGGACCTCCAGCAATTAGTGTCTCTTTATTCGCCAAGGCAATGTCTTTTCCTGCTTCTATGGCAGCCACGGTAGGCTAACAAGATAATATACATGAAAAGATTTACGAGAGAAACTTCTTAATGATTTAATTTATGAACTTGGAACTTAGGAAAGGAACATGAGAAACAAGAGCAGAAGAAGTAATAACTGGTATTGTTCTTGAGGAAAATCAATAACCTACATCAAGAGAATGGTGTGAACATTCTGAATGTTTCGCATAAAAACAAGCATGAACGTAGTCTAGCTGAAGTGGAACTGAACTATGCAAGATACTTTCAAACTCGTATGTAGTTGGTCTACATGAACATGGAATTGTACAAATGTCCATATAACACACGTAATATGTCATTAGATTAGGGCCTCCTAAGTGATCTACTAAATTCATCAAATTGTTTCAAAGGATCAAAACCGCCAGTTATTAAGAGAATTCCTTCTTATCTCTCAGTCTGTGTAGATACTCATTTGGCTGAGGGCTGCCAAATACATTGTAAGCTAAACTAATAATTACCAAAACCAACCCTCCATGAATAGGGCGGGTACGGTAATGCTATAAACGACCTAGTATCAAATTTCGGTAATAATATCAATGAAATATTGTTCTCGTGTGTTTCGAGAAATGCTGATGACCACATTTTCTCGCCCTCCAAATATGCTAGCGGAGTAGAGCAAAAAAAATTTTTAAGCATAAATTTCAAGGAAAGAAAATACAGTTACCTTCAATCCTGCGCAGCCAACTATTCCTGTAACCACTGTGACAGCGTCAGGGTGCCGGGCAACCTTAAACACAAATATAAGTCATCAATGGGCTACGAGTCAGATCAATATCTACCTGCTAAATAAAAAGATACTGTAAGAAATGATAGCTAACCTCAATAACTCCTTGCTCTCCAGGAATTATTTCAGGCTTTTCTTCCACATCGGCTAAAGCCTCCTCGAGTTCACTAACTAATGACTCATTTCTAACAGAAACTAATTGAGGTTTGAATCGCTTCACCTGCATAAGGAGGCACCTCATGTTTGGCTAAAATTAATTAAAAAAGAAAAGTAAAAGTACTTTGGGAGAGCAAGTAAAGACTTGTGTAATTAGTTTTTGTACTAAAAATCTCACAAAAAAAGAAAAAAAGAAAAAAATGTAGTTCCTAATAAAGCTCAAATATGTTTAGTAAAAAAAAAAAAAAAAA